GAAACTGTGAAGTGAAGCCTGAGTTGCTATGGAGATCACAGGCTCCTGGAAATGTGTGAAATGTGGGCTGTCCACTGAGGAAACCCATGTGTAGAGTTGGGCTGACTCAAGAGAGAGAGATGGAGGGGTGAAAGGCTACCCAATCCTTTAGGAGTCCCGTTGATTTCATTAGGAGCCCCAAGTGCCAGACATGGAGCTACAGGATTTAGTGTATGGGTTTGGGTATCTGTTCCGATCATTCCTTGCTGTGCCCGGGTTCCTCCCTTTCTGGATAGACATGCTGACTCTGTGCCGTTATGTGTTAGAGGTATGTAACTTATTTCTTATTTTATAAGACCTCACATGGAAGAGATTGCTTTGAGCCTCAGATGAGACTTGAACTTTGGACTTTTAAAAGGTGTTAAAATTATTAAAGACTGGAGGTCTTTTGAAGTTGAATTAAATGGTGGGTTTTTTTGTATTATAAAAGTCATGAGATTATGGAAGGTTATGAGTTAAGTGATGTGTCTGTGTCAACTTGGCAAAGGGGAGGCTTGTGGCGGGTGGTGTCAGCCTGGCATGATCTAGAACCGCATGGGAGACAAGCCTCCAGACATACCTGTGATGGATTATTCAGCCTCCAGGCATGCCTGACAGTGACTGATAGGTTAATGCAGGAGGGAGAGCCACCCTAAAAGTGGGCTTGGGTGCTGGACGGTCTCAGAAAGAGAAAGCGAGACACACACAAGCACTCATCACTCTGCTTCCTGAGGGTGGGTGCCACGTGACCAGCTGCTTCGCGCTCCGTTGCCTTGGCCTTCCTGCCATGATGGACAGTGTCACTGAACCGTGAGCTGAAGCTGTCTCTCCCCTCAGTTCCCTCTGTCAGCGTATTTTATCACAGGAAAGGGAGAAGAAACTAAGTCAGGGTGTGAGTGCCACACAGTCACTGAATGGGTAGGACCTAGCAGCCCAGAGTAAGAGAGAAAGACAGCCACGGTGGGACAAGAGCAAGCATCTGATATGGAGGGAAGTGGCTGGGGCATCACGTCACGTTGCTAGTGCATGCTGGCCTGTCCGTCGGAGGAAGGTCAGCATACTCATCTGGAGCGAGCCACTGACCACCAGCAGTGCGTGCCACCAGCCAGTGTCACCGCAGCTGGAACAGGAACAGGGCCTGCTGCCCTTTTACGTGGATGAGGGGCAGGCAGTGGGTCCGGGAACCCAGGGGAGGGATGGGTGAAGGTAGGGACACTTGATAGAGCAGGGGACAGTGACTTCTGGCCACTGTTGGGCTGGCTCTGCTTTCGGCCTGTGTGTCTTGCTCAGTTTGGAGCACATGCTCTTCAGGACTTCTGCTGGACTATTCTCCCTGGCTGTCCACCCAGCTTTCCCCTCCTTACCATCCCTGCCCCGCCCCCATCAGAAGCCTTTGACCTCACCAGCATGCCAGCCCTCACATCTCCTGCTGCTGCTGCTGCTGCTGCTGCTGCTGCTGCTGCTGCTCCAGCTTCCCTCGTTGGACTTCTGGCCAGTGTCCAGCTGGGCAAAGCTCATTTCCCTGCTTGCTCAACTGCTCTATCCCCGGAGCCAAGCACACCGCCTGGCACACAGAAATCTGTCTGAAGACAGGCCAGCTTGACCTGCGGGTCTGAGCTATCGGAATCGAGGAGGAGTATCTTGCACCTGGTGACTGTCCTGGTGCCCAGCCCAGGGCCAGGGCATGGACGCTGTGACCAATGCCTATACTGATGATTTGCTTTGCATACAGAGGACTCAAAGGGTGTCGTGGAGTCTCATACCAGAAGCAAGTGTCCAAACAAAGGTGAAAAGAAATGGACCACAAGCAGCCCAACCACTTCGAGGAACTGAAGAAGGGGACCAGGTCTCATAACAGTGCTGACAGGTGGCTGGCCAGAGGCCAAGAGTAGTGAACAAGGCTGGTTTGCCAGGCATCAGCCAGACCTGCAGCTCCAGGCTTCAGAGCAAGGTGTAGAAGCCCTGGCATCTTCCAGAACCTTCCTGTGTGAGACATGAGTCTCACAGACATGAGTCTGTGAGGAGTCATACACTCGAGGAGCTGGTTTAGAAGGCTGACAGGGTCTAGGGATGGATTCCGAAGGAGAGACCTGTGGTACCTGGAAGAGTGGGGCGGTGAGAGCCAACCCTAGGTCCCATCAGTGGGAGCGGCCACCCTGCTCTGCAGCAGCCATCAAATGGGACCCATTGACGGCAGCTGTTAAGTGGGCATGGGGGAGAGAAGGTCAGATGGGGCTCTGGGCATTCCTGACCCAGGAATGAGGACAGTAAATGTGATGCCAGAGGGGACAATGACTCACCAGGGACACCAGCAGCAAGGCTTCTGTTTAGGAGACTTGCACATCATCAGGAAATGACTTCTGGATACCCAGGAAACAGGGCTCCAGGGTCTGGGGCTGAGCTTGGTCCCTAGGGGACTAGCCTTGGCTCCTGGAGCCCACCAGCCCTGGCAGCTCATGGCTGGTCACTCAGCCTTGCCTCGCTCCTGTATCGGGCTTTCCTCTCCAGAGCCAGCATCTCTCCCGGTACGTGCAAACCTGGCGTAAGCCTGACCTGCAGGGTCTAGCTCCCATCCCTCAGCATTATCGGCTTTCTAGGGCGAAAGTTCCTTGACCCAGACACCTCTCCCTGTATCTCCACAACCACAGCCACAGCACAGGGACGGCTGCATAGGAAGGCTCCGGAAGACGCAGGGGCTTCTGCTCACGGTGGGCCCACAGGGAGACAAATGTTGGCCTCCACGGTGCTGCTCCAGGAAGCTGCATCTTCTTCCTAGGCCCTCCTTGTACCTGCTTCCCAGGTCTCGCTGTTTACATGATCCCTTTCTCTCTCCTCTCCCCTCCTCAAAGACCAAGGAGGGCTGGGCTGCACACAGACCTGGAGTGCTGGAATTCGTTTTTTGCCGATCTTGTTTTTCCTGGTGCTGAGGATGGAACTTGGGGCCCCTAGAACGCAGGGACCTTGTACATGGTAGGCGGAGCCTCTGCCTCTGAGCCACACCCCCAGGACCTAACAGACTTGGGATTCTAATTTGTTATGTGACCTGAGGCCAGTCACTTCCTCCCTGGGAACTCCAGTGTTTGCATGTGGGATCAGGAAGGTTGTGGTGGAGATTCGGTGAGATGGACCCAAGCATTGGAGGTGGGCACAGGGAAGGCAGCTTCGTATATGGGCTGTCCTAGTGGTCATCTCCCTGGATCTCAGCCTGTGTGTTGTCTGGCCTTTCCCTTATAGGAAGCGCTAATTATTGCCCGAGAAGTTCTGCACTTTGATGCTCTGATGGGGACCAGTGTGGGAAACGGTGTGGGGCCAAGGACCAAGTCCTGGCCTACTCCAACTTCCATGGCTTTGGCGAGGAAGCAGGAGCCCCTTCAAGTTCAAAGACACAGGAAGATCAGGAGGCCTGCCTTAGGGCTTGGCATCCTGCATCGTCTTGGAGCAGATTTGAGCAGTGGATTAGAAAACAGCTGGGTTTTCAGCACTTAGGATCTGTGTGACAGGAAGGAGGGCCAGATCTGAGGGAGGCATTTGAGAACAGCAGGAAGTGGGTTCGAGAACTAGTAAGGTCTACGCTTGCCACTGCCCTGGCCGTGGCAACCTCAATACCAACTCACCACACATTCTCTCTCTCTCTCTCTCTCTCTCTCTCTCTCTCTCTCTCTCTCTCTCTCTCTCTCTCTCCACACACACACACACATACACACACAGAGAGAGAGAGAGAGAGAGAGAGAGAGAGAGAGAGAGAGAGAGAGAGAGAGAGAGAGAGAGCCACCTGTCTCCCTCAGTCCTGGGGTTAAAGGTGTACATCACTACCCCCGGGCCAATTCTCTTTTTATCTTTGTGCCCTTCTGTCTCAAGAAGCCAAGGAGCCACGTGGTGTTGGCAAAGCAGAGTGATCCACGGAAGCCAGACCCCATGCTCTTCCTCAGGGTTCTCTCTGGGCTATCCTCACTGGTCCCACCTCATAGACACAGCCTGGGCCAAGGACAGGACACAGAACACAGATGCCCAGACCTATGCATTTTCTGCTTCACCCATGACCTTTGGGAGGCTTTACCAGAGTTGAAATGGCCTCAAATGTAGCGGGGAAGGTAATCCTGCTACAAAATCCCCCCCTCCCCCCAGCCCAGGGCAGGTTCAGAGATGTACCCAGACCAGACTCTCTTCACCGATTTGTATGTATGCATAGGCAAGCCCAGACACTTGAGTCTTTAGCTCCTCTGTCTTCGGTATGGTTCTATTAGTCACCTTTTCTGAATGAGACTGCTCACCGCTTTCTGTACAACATGAATTAAATATATTCTCTGTCTTTGCTCTGAGTCACAGGACATTCACAGTCAGTGGGGAAGGGGGGTGGGGTGGGGAGGGGAAACCCAGGCTCCAAGGGGTTGGGATGGGCGTGGGGCCTGTGGAGGAAACACGGGCTTGACCTCCCCTTGGCTTTTGCCCTTCAAGTTCAGCCAAGTGTTGGGGAGAAGGGTGCCTTCTCCAGGTTAGGCTGTAATGCCAGCACACTTTCTCTCGGGACCAGCCTCTCTGGAGGCTGGTGCCAGGGCCAGGTAGACAGGTCTAGGAAGGAGGCGGGGCATGGGGGAGAGGCTGCACCAGCCCCAAAGAGTCAAAGCCACCTTGGTACCAGTGTCAGGGTGACCTTGCATATCTGGGTGCCAGCCTCAGGACCCTGAGACGGGGTCGGCTTATCATCCCTCGGGGCTGATAACACCCGTGTGTGGGAGTGGCTTAGGGAGGAAGGGACAGAGGTGCCAGGTCGGAGCTCCGAGAACAGTGTACACTCCACCACCTGCCTGCTTAAGGCAACCCTTTCCAGACTGGGGGATGGGCAGGGGGACGGCCGAGGCAGCAGGGGTACAGCTGGGAGTCCCAGATCCCCTCCAGCTGCAGCTGGACATGGGCAGCATGCTGGGCTTTTTTTAGCCTTGGTTCAAGCCAGAGGGTACAGGGCTCCTGGCAGGAGGGGACCATAGCATGTTGGGGATGGTGATAAGAGGGGATACTTTTTTTTTTTTTTGATGCTCTAGAGATGTCTGCCTTTGGGTGGGGTTTGCACACACACACTGGCACAATTCCAGGGTCCCGGTGCCTTGTTCCTGGACTCTTCCTTGTTCTCAGAGGAGAAGAAGGTAAAGCGAGTGTCCAGAGGACAAGAAAGGGGTCTGTCGAGCTGATGAGCCAGGCAAGCCCAGGTTCCCCAGATCTCCCCCCCCACCTCTGCCGGGAAGGGGTCCCAGGTCCCTCCTTGCCCCTCCCTTCCTCCTGGGGAAGTAGCTCATGCCCCATCCCAGAGTGGACGGCAAAGGGGTTGGTGTCCAGGTAGAGGCCATCCCAGAGGTGTGTGGCAAGCAAGGAAAAAGGAAGCAACCGCTACCACCAGGGCTGCCAAGTGGTCCTCCAGACTGGCCACAGGCGTTCATTGCTCAGCCCTCGGATGGCCACACAGGCCCCATACTTCCTGAATCCATGTTCCGTGTGGCCTCTCGCCCCGTGAGTTGCAGCAGGGTGGACGTAGCTCAGAAGATGCTCTGCCGCCGGCTCTTCCCTCGCCCTGCAGAACGGAGGGGGGCAGGAAGGAACAGGGGAAGGGGACGGGGATCAGAGGGACACTTGCCCTTCACATGCTCCGATCCAGTGAGCAAGGGCAGGCCCTGGGATTCAAGTCTCGTCTCTGTTGCTCGTGAGCTGTGTGGAACTGTGCCTTAACTTCCAGGGGCCTCAGTTTACCGAAGCGGAGAACATTTGGAGTGCCAGCCCCACAGGGTGTTTTAAAGATTGTATGAGACAATGCATGGGAACCACTGTCAGTCCAAGGCCACTGGCTGTGCTAAGGACAAAGTTCGGACTGGCCAGGAGCTCAGGGTCTTCACAGAGAACACACCAGGCACAGGGCACACCCTTGCCAGGGCTTCTGTAAAAGGCAGTGTTCCATCTGGGTCGGGGTGGATGAGGGAGGAACCTCCCATAAGGTATGTATGTGGGGGTGTTGACTCCCCATCCCAAGGGTAGACTGCTGGGCCCATCCCTTTCTTAAAGGAGTGTCCCCCCGCTGGGAAAAAGTGGCCTGCTTGGCTACTTCTAACAGAGTATAGGGAGAGCATGTGGCCCTACCTGGGTGCTGGAAGGCCAGGCCACGATAGCCTGGGTCCTTTTGGAGCTGGATCTCTTTCAGGGAGAAGATGGAGGCAGCTGGGCAAGAGAAGAGGGTGGGGGAGGCCTGGGTGGAGCCACTCTGCTTGCTCCTGTACCCCACTTCCACTAAATCCTCAGAGCCAAGGCACCCTCTAGTCCAGACTCAGTTCTCCAAATGAGAACTGTGAAGGGGAGGCCATGTGTCTGAGACCACTCACCGGGACCCGAGGGTCCAGCCTCTGTTACAGCCCCACCCGTGTCCGCTGCCCCCTCCCCTTGTTCTGGCCGGCCCTGAGCCCTCCGACACTCACTGTCATCAAGCTGGTGTACACGTTCTCCCAGAGACAGGAAGTAGGGGTGATTTAGGGCCGCCTCTGCTGACATGCGACTCTTGGATTCGTACTGAAAGGCACAGGGGAGGCTCTTGGGCCCTGCGGGAGAACCTTCTAGAACACGGGACTCCCGTGCTAAGTTAGAGAGCCAAGGTGGGAGAAGCTGCCATCTGACCCAAACCAGGCAGCCTCAGTTAGGATACCAGGGTTCAGACACCAGAGAAAACCTGAAATGGGGCTTCACGGGAGAGTGGCTGCCTCTTGGGATGGGCATACACGAGAAGGCCATGACAACCATCACCTGAGTGAGCATCGGCGCTATTGGCAGTCAACTACCCTTTATCCTGGGCTTGCTCCCAGGGAGGCGCTGCGCCCTCCCCATAATCTCGGTGTATCCCCAGCATCTTCTCAAGGACGAACTGATATCCTCCGTCATCGTGCAGTTGAGAAAACTGAGCCTCCCGTCCTCAGGAAATGCCCAACCAGGCCTTGGGGGGCCAAGCACAGAGACTAGCGTCCCCGTGGGACTTTGGAGTCACAGGTGGTATCTGAGCTAGTGGCCTGGCTGTCTTTGGTTGTCTCTCCCTGGGGAGGATGGGAGGAAACTCACCAGGAGGAGGCTGGTCAGGAGGTTGATGCCGTCCATATCCAACCTGCAAGGAGGAGGCGCTGGCACAGGCGCAGCCGGGGGCAGGCTGGGGACCTGAACCTCTGGGAGGGAGATCCCAATGGGGAGCGAGGGGCCTGGCAAGGGACTACCTGGGAGCGTGGCTGAGCAGCGGCTGCGGCAGGTACCGGGGGAAGTTGTAGGCTCGAAACTCGGAGAGGGACGTCACACACCCGGCCAGGTCTCTTCTGTAGGAGTCCCTGGAGACACAGGACCGGTAGGAAGTCTGAGTGGAGGGCTGAGGCCAATATGGCGAGGGTGCAACATTGAAGGAGACAGCAAAGAGTAGTAGCCAAAGCTAGCTGGTCCCCACCCTGCCCAGTCCCCCATGCTCCTGGGTGGACAGAGTTCTGGCGCCCCCTGGTGGCCAGGTGGAGGGTACAGACGGAAACTAACCCAGGAGACGGAAGATGAGGTGTAATTCCTCCTTGACGGTGGAGCCTGGGAAGAGGGGCTTCCCGGTGGCCATCTCATAGAGTATGCAGCCCACGCCCCTGGGGAGGCAAAGGCAACGGTGAGGACAGGAAGCACAACCACCCCTCCAATGACACCCTAACACGAGCCTGAGAGGTCACATCTGGGACTTGAAAAAGGCTCCTAGAACCGACCAGACTCCCCACTACAGTCCCTCTCTGTGAGCCCTGGGTCCCCTTAATTCTGCTAGGCAGAAAGACAGATGCATATTCTCACACTCTGGGGAGCCTTGGGCTCGGCCAGAAACCTGGTTCTGGCTTTCATGGTTTTCATTTGACACCAAACCATACATTTGTCGATTTTAACAATAAAATAGCATGTCTCTTCCAAGATGTTCTGGGGGAAGACTCATCTACCCTCTGGCAATTCCGACCTCTACCCCTGGGGAAGCATTTCAGAAGCACAGCACTAGAGGGTCTATAAGCTCGGAGACCCTGATGTATTTCAGACTAACGGCAGCGCAGCAGGGAGAAGTGGAGCTCTGAGCAAGGTCAGGGTCTTCCCGGGCAGAGTCTAAAGGTATGGACAGTCCATCCTACACCCCTCTGCTGCTCTGCTCACTCACCACATGTCAATGGGGGTGGAGTACTCTGTGGATCCCAGCAGCACATCTGGAGGCCTGTACCAGAGGGTTACCACCTCATTGGAATACGTCTTTGTAGGCACTGATTTGGCCCGGGCCAGGCCTAGGAACAGACAAGTCACTGAACCTCTGCTAAAGGGTCCTGAAGAACCAGGTATTCAGGCACCCCTCAGAATCCCTACATCCTGAGGAGGCTGTGTACCCCAGGGGTCAGACCCACTTGCCAACCCTGACCCCTGGACCCAGGCATCAGCCTCACCAAAGTCGGCCAGCTTCAGCTCGCCCCTATCATTGATGAGCAGGTTCTGGGGCTTCAGGTCTCGGTGCAGGATCTTGCGGCGGGTGGCAGTAGGCTAGACCCCGGAGCAGCTGGAACATGAAAATCTGGAGGAGACAGAGGAGAAACGAGAAGTATGGCAGGATTAGGTCCCACGTGGGAGACCCTGCACCTCTGTCTCAGGCTGGAGAGGAATGGAGGATCAGCACAAGTCTCTAGGAAGGCTCCCTGGTTCTGTTGCCCACCCTGCAGGCCACCTGGGACCTGTACACACCAGGGAATCACATATGGAGGCAGAGGCCAGGTATGGAGAGGAGGCAGGGAGTGTGAGGGGGCTGGTGAGGTCTCCAGATGTGAAGTACGAAAGAACAGTGAGTAGGGGTCCCATAGGTGGGGATGTATGTGCTTGGTTATTAATCACCAGAGCTGGTCATTTATCCTCCTAGCTTCTCAGAAGCCTTCCTTCACTCTCGCAGGTAACTCATGCATGCTTGATACTCAGAGTTAAGAGACAGATCTGTATCAGTAGCTAGTCAGAAGTGGAGGGTAAGTCCGTTCTTGGCTGGGATGCTCAGGATGGCTTCTAGACTAGCCGAGTGGCCTTTCTTTCCCTTCCATTATTTGAGGCTCTGAGCAACCTCAGCAGCTGGTGCCAAGAGGAGCATCCCACACTGGGCCTGATGACAGATGATGCCCTGGGCTGGCCATGCTGAGGTCCCTACCTTAGAGGCCCTCACCTTGACATTGTGCATGTTCATGAGGTTTCCACAGTGGTCTAGATACTGTTTCAGGTCACTGTCCTGGAACAGACAGTCAGGGTCAGTCCTGCCCCCTGCCTGGCCAGTCAGTGGTCTGGACTCAGGCTGAAAGGAAGCCCCTCTTCAGTCTGGACCCATGCCTGCTGGTGGCCCAAGGCCCCAGCTCTGAACCCTTGGCCCACTTACTTCCACATGGGAATTTAACTGGCAAACAAAGGCTTGGGTCCTTCCCTCACCCCATCCCTCCCAGCCCCTCTCTCCCTCTTCTTCCCTACCCCACTTCACCCACCACAGGGGAAGAGGCTGCCAGCCCCAGGCCAGCTCACCAGGTACTCAAACACCAGGGTGAGGGACCGATCTGTGTGAATGAGGTCATGCAGGGTCACAATATTGGCGTGTTTCAGGTCCTTCAGCAGAGACACTGGGGAGACAGGCCCACCTGGGTCCCCAGGCCCACCAATACCTCCCACTATCCCTTCCTGGGGCCAGCAATGGCCCTCCACCCAGGCTCCCACCAGGTGTGGGTTGTTGAGCCCCTCCTCCCAGAGGCCCGGGGTGCAGACCCGGACATTGTACCCTCTCGAATGGCAGTACAGGGTGCCCCTTCCTCATGCTCCAGCCGGATCTCCTTCAGGGCCACGAGGTTCTCCGTCAGCTTGCTGCGCCCCTTGAAGACGGTGGCATAGGTACCCTGGGACAGGGAGCATCCCTCGTCAGCCCCAGCAGTAGCCGGCTCCTGCTCTCTTCCCAGCTCCACCCCTTACGTTTCTGCGTGAGTTAGGATTCAAGCCCTACTCCCTCTGTCCAAATTCTGTTGGCCCCAAAGTCTGCTTCTCCTTAACATCTCCCTATCAACTCCCTGGCTGGAACGGACCACCCATTCCTCTGTTCCCATGCCGGCTGCCCCTCTGTTGTTATAGCTCAGCCTTGCTCTTAGGTCATGGTCATATGGCTCTTGAAAGACAGGGCCTTCTTCCTCTTCGCAAACCTATACCCACTCCAGGCCACGAAGCCTGACATGGCGATGCATAAGCCATTTAGCCACAGGGCGCTTGCTGTGTGCCAGGCACCAGGAACGTGTGTACAAGCTTCCTCTGGGACTCGACAATCCCCCCAACAGTAAAAGAATTACTTTCATCCTTTGACAGAGAATGAAACTGAGGCAAAAAGAGAGGTCCTGGGACATGCCACGGTCATGGAGCTAGAAAATGGTGGAATTGGGGTTCGAATCCAGGCCATAGCTACTTGAAAGAGGAAAGAAGACTAGTCCTATCCAGAGAGCTCTGTCCTCCAGGCCTCCGTCAAGATCAGGGTCACTTTCAACAGCTGCTGAAGGCCAGGCTGCCTGGACAAGACAGTGTGACTCTGTCCGGAGCCGTGAGGGGCATAGGAGAGTCAAAACCATCCTATCTGCTGCCCAGACGGAACCACCCCGGCCTTACCTCCCCCAGTTTGTCCAGTTTCACGTATGTTTCCAGTTTCCCAAAGCCGATATCTGACTGGGAAGGAGAGAGGGAGACCGTGAGACTCAAAGCCCCAGCAGATCTTTCTAGCCCACGTTTCCTCCCCGTCCTCAGGAGGGAGGAAGTGACACATCCACCGTACAGAGAGGACCCAAGGAGGGACAACTTCAGAGCCTTCTTTTTCTCCTCTCCCTCCTCCTCATGAGAGGTGAGGGACCCCTTCAATGGCGGCTCCTTCCTCCATGAGTCACAGATGGACACACTGAGCCGTACTGCCTTCCCAGGGCCCACCTCACCGCCTGCCTGGCTTCTCTTGCTCAATAGGTTACTGACTCCTCCGGGGTGCGCCTGTCATCCTCCCCTGTGTGGAGTTAGCTGCAGACCCCACCCCGGTTCATCTCTCCTCAGTTCATCTCTTCTGGCTCAGGACAGGACGTGTCTTAAAAAGTCAGAGTTCCAAGACCCACTCACCAGAGAGGCTCCCAGGAGCGCCTCACAGGAAGCTGGAACCTGACAGCATGTGATGATGGGTGATCTGATGGGTCGGTCTTTTTTATTGGGGAGGTCTTTCATTCTTATTAAGCATTCCGTAACATATGTGTGCTATATAAAGAATGCAGGGCCTTCCAGCAGGAATAGATGACCATGGCTGAGCTTTTTGTTTTTCTCATCAGCCAGGAAAAGGCTTCCCTTATCGATGTTCTCCAAGCCCCTGAACACACAGTAGTGACTGACTCCAGAGACGTGCCCATCTCTTTCCACCAAAGACCACTGGTGTGCAAGTGGAAACTCTCTAGTCTTGGTTCCCATTAGTGCATTAGTGAACTTGGGGGTGTACACGGGGATGACGAAACACATGCCCACAACAGTGAGGCCAGCCACGTCTCTGCACAGTGAAACACAACCTGAACCCTATCTGGTTCCTCCGGGTTTTGGTTTTTTTTGAGACACGGTTTTACTGTGTAGCCCAGGCTGGCCTTGAATTCTTGGAACTCCTTCTGCATCAGCCTCCCAAGGAATGCTGGGAGTACAGACATGAATCCCAGCAATGGTTTCCTGGTCTTAACCTGGGAGACCCTGGGGTCTACTTAGCACCACTGACTCAAGGAGACGGTTTACTGGAATCCGCAGCGGCCAGCAGGTGGCGCCAAAGCCACAGGAATCTTTCTGGAAATCACTCTCGGCCTCAGCTGGGATGAACAAGGCCGGTAGTGCGCTACCCACACTGGTGTTTTCCGCTCAGCCAGCGCTGACCCTCCTTGGACTCACCAGGGAGGCACGACGGGACATTCGGGTGAGTGGCTTGGGCAGCCCTGGGTTCTCCAGCTGTAGCTTCTGCAGGAATTCCTGGGGCAGGCGGATATCCATGGGCAGGGAGAGCCTCTTGTTGAGGTCCTGAGGTGGCAGATAGGAGGGGAACACCCATGTTGGTCCCAGGAGGCCCTTGCCTCTCACCCTGGATTTATCTGTCCCTGTAGAGCAGGGCCAAGCCACAGGCTGTGTGGCCTCAGACTCACAGCTACCTGAAGGGTATACATATGTGAACCTACAAGGATTACTGTGTGACCTTTAGGAAGTTCCTTCCCCTCTCTGGGCCACAGTAGCACTGACTGTAGAACATAAGTCTCACACCCTCACAACGTAATTCTGTAGGCATATTTCTCCTACACTTGGCATAGGTAACTGGGTCATCAGAACAGTCAATGTCTAGCCAGGAATGTTCTAGCACTTGGCGTATATTCTCACGGAATCCCCACAATAACCTACTCCAATTTGAGCCCTTGGTGACTGACTCTACAGGAACCACCCTGCTATGTCTGCCGCTGAGGATGCGCCTGACCTTGGAACCTGAGGGGCACCCTCACCTCCATGGAGAAGCGGCGCTGACTCTGTCGTTGTTGATACTGCATGCCAGGGGACAGGTGCCCGGGCTCGTCCCCCGCCATCTGTGGGGGAGAGCATGCTTGGTTTCAGCCCACAGGACTGAGCAGCATGTCTGAGTAGGACAGGTGTCGGCCCTTCCCTCCCACTCCGCGGTCTGTCCACAGCCCAGGGCACCCCACCCCACCACCCCGTCATGTACTGGGCAGCCAGTCAGCAGGGTTCACGGGGAGTCTGGGTGGGAAAGAGCGAGGCGGCCTGACCCTCACCCTCATTCCTCTGGGTGTGGAGCTGGTTGAACTGCTCGGTGAACTCAGCCAGGGACTCCTCAATGGTCTCTGGGCGGGGCACGGACAGGGAAAGCCTTCTCTTGAAGTTCTTCACCTTGTTCATGGTCAGCAGGGGCCCGTTGTGAGTCCTAGGACAGAGAGGCGAGAACGAGGCAATGTGGCCACTCTAGACCCACGGGAGCCAGGCACACTTTCGGTCGCCCTGACCAGAGCTCTATGATGGCAGGATCTAACCCTGTTCCTTCCTCCAGTGTCTCTTCCGTCCATACTCCTCTCCGGCCATCACAGCCTCAAGGGTCTAGCTACAGGTTTGTAAGACGCCACTCCAGACATTCAGCCTTCCGCTGGGGTGTCTGGAGATCGCTGAGACAGGACACCGGAACTGGATGGCCCTCAGGCCATTGGCTCTTTCTGAAAGAGCCTAACTGGTTGGTGCCCACTTGTCAATAGGTTTCAAATTCCATGACACCTGATACGGATCCCAGAACGTCCCCCTCTCTCATCCTGGATCCTCAGGAAGGAGATCAAGGGAGAGCAGGTCCCAGCCTAACTTCGGCTCCGGCTTCAGTATGCCAGTCAGGAGCAGCGTGGGAAACTCAGGCAGCCCAGGAAAAGGGAAGCCGGAGGTGCTGGCCCCTCCCTTGCCTCAGTCCTCTGAGCAGGCCTGGGTGCCCTGGGCTGAGGACACAGTGGAGCGGGAGCCGCCCTGTTCTATTGCCCTCTAAGTTCTGACCTCCGGATGGCACCACGAATGTTACTGCTGCTTCCCACAGACGGATGCTCCGTTCTCTCTTTCCCTCTCTCCCTCCTCCCTCTTTCCCTCCCTCCTTCCCTCCCTCTCTCCTTTATCTCTATTTTGAGACAGAGTCTCACTGTGTATTTCTGCCTGGCCTGGAACTTGTTATATAGACCAGGCGGACCTCAAGCTCACAGAGATCCATCTGCCTCAGCCTCCTGAGTGCTGGGATTAAAGGCGTGGGCCACCATGCTTTGCCCGAAGGCCCCACCCTCCGCAGGCTTCAAAAGCACCCGTGCACAGCCACATGGCCATCCTCTTAGGCCCCATACTGCCTTCAGCTACAATGGGCTGCAGGCACCAGAGGCCACACAACCCCCTTAGCTCCCCACCCTAGCCAGGAAGGCATCAGAAGGACCAACCCTGTTTGGGAGGGGCCATCTGCACTCTTCCCTAGGCCTACTTATAACCCACTTCTGGAGGATGCTCAGGCCTGTGGCAGGCCAGCACCTAGTTGCCAAGGCAACCAGGCCCCTCCTGAATCCTCCTGGTTTAAAGGATTATGGGTCAGTAACATGTTTGCTTTGCTTAACGATCATCTCCTCTGTGAGCCTGGAAAAGGTCCTCTCCCTGGCACTCCATGCTCCTGGCTGCCCCTACCACTACGGAGCTGGGCCCTCGGGCTCTCTGACCCAGGCCTGTGCCTTTCCAAACAGAAGGCTCTGGCCTCCACTGCCAGTTGAGACCTCCTCTGCTGAGAAGCTTGCAGACCGTGTTAGTTCAGGATGGCCTTGCCCACCTGGGTCCACCCTGGATTCCCACATGGCCTCAGCCTGTATGACGTCACAGGCCTGCCTTCTGCAGAACTCTGAAAGCTCCCAGAGGATAGCCACCCTGCTACACGCCCTTGTGTGTGGCGTCCAGCTGAAGGGACCCAACAGAGGCTCTGTGATGGTGACAGGACAGATGGGCTCCAGAGGCAAAAAGGGTCAGACACGCCACACGCCCTGCCTGGTAACTCGTTCCCAGCAAGGCTAGAGGGCAGCGATCACTCTGTGTACACGTCCATTGCTGTCCAGCTGAATGCTAGGGTGACCAGGGACATCGGACACATTCTAACTACCAGCTTCTGGAACTAGGGCCTGGGAAAGTGCTTGGGATTGAACCCAGGGCCTTGCAAGTGGTAGGCAAGCCTTCAGGATTTTTAAAAATGTGTGTGTGTGTGTGTGTGTGTGTGTGTGTGTGTGTGTGTGTGTGTGTGTGTTGTATGTATATGCCACATGTATGCACGTGCCTCTAGGGAAGGCAGAAGAGTGAGTTGGGTCCTCTGGAGTTGAAATTTCAGACATCTGTGAGCTGCCTGAAATGCGCTCTAGGAACTGAACTCAGGTCCTCTGGAAGAGCAGCAAGCCCTCTTAACCACTGAGCCATCGTCCCAGCCCGTTCTTCTTTGGCCATGGGTATTTCGATGCAGCCCTGGCTAGATTTGGATTTCCAATCTTCCTGCCTCAGTCTCTCAAGGGCTAGGATTACAGGCCTGTCTTTCCAAGACAGGCAGAGAAGATATGTATTTAAAACAGGGTCTCCAATAATCAGCATGGGAAGACAAGTTTGGCCGTATGCCGGGTTCAGGTGAGGGCTGACTGTCACCCCACCCTTCCAATCCACCATCTGGGCTAGGAGGGGAACCCTTGGAGCTGGAGCTGCAGAGGACTCAGGAGGGAGACAGACACAGCTTCAGGAGCCCCACAGGGGAGCTGCTATGCCTGGGGACCACACATAGAGACTTCCTAAGCTCCAGGAGCAAGCCAAGGGGAATGGTGTGTGTGCGCACGCGCACCACCATAGCTTCCTGAGGGGATATGGCCAAGGCTCTCAAGGGATTCAGGGGACACATACACTTGGCTATTCATGATTTCAGCTCTACCAAGATGGACTAGCCCTGTCCAAAAACAACTCTCCCATAAGGCCATCCTACAGTGTGGGCTTATGGGATGGTGTGGTGGGATGCTGGCTCGGGATCTTACACCCTGGTTTTTGTTCAGGGCAGATAATTTCTTCAAGACAAGGATCAAGCCGAAATCCCATCTGCTCTTTCTAGGTTCAGTGGGGAGTAAAGAGCCAATAGCTGGCCTAGATGGAGTGGAGGGCAGAAGAGGGAGGAAGGGCTGGAAATGCAGAATGGAACCGAGGCTCTAGGCTCCAGGCTTGACCTGAGCAGTGTTGTCAGACTACTGCATAGCAACAGCAACCAGCTGTTCTCTCTGCCGGAGAAGAGGCCAAGAGGAAATGGCTGTCGCTGCAGCATGAGGAATCGAGGTCAGACGCGAGGATGGACTTCCTGATGGTGACATGGAGCAGGCAGCAGGAATGGTGACCACAGCAGAGAGTGGCTACTTCTCTCTGCTAGGGACAATTGGGGCATTGAAGCCAATAGGGTCTTGGGTGTGACAGGACAGTCGGGGCAGTGAACGGTTTGTTGTTCCCCGACTCAAGACATAAGACGCTCTGTCACTCTTGCCTTGGGAGAATCAGCTCCTCGTGTTTGGGGGCCGAGGGGGAAGGGAGACAGGAAAAGGGCCTGTCACCTTGGTGCTGTCTGCTCCTCGTCCCCAACTAGGGACAGAAAGGCCCAGTGTGACCCAGCCTCAGGCCCGCCCAGGGCCAGGCACAGTGTGGCCTTTGTCCCCAGGCCAAAGAGCCATCTGGGTCTGTCCCGTGCAACTGGTGCCAGGGGAAGAGAAGTGTGGTGTAGGGGTGCCACCCAGCAGGGTGGCATGGGGGAGGTCGCAGCAGAGGCCCCTCTGGAGCTGTGGGCTGGGTAGGCAGACCCTGGCCAGTCCGCCTCCCACCTCCTGCCCAGGTAAGCCTCTGTCTCCTAGGCACACACCAGCTGCCAGCACTTCCTGTTGGTGCCAGAGACAAGGGTGTCGCAGGGGAAGGGAAGAGGAGCCGGGCCTGGAGGAAAGGAAGACTTTGCTAGGGGCCACGGCATATCGCGAGAAAGGCCAGACTCCCCAGGCCAGCCGGGAGCCAGCAAGGAAGGGGCAGGTGCTTAGGGAGAGCTTCAGTCGGCATCCACAGACTGCAAGAAGGGACTGCCCTGCTGGAAGGGAGGCAGTGATTTCCTGGTTGTCAAGCGCATGACAGTGACCGCATCACTCCTCCCCTCTAGCTGAGGTGTCGTGTCTCCCCCGCAGTCCTGTCCCCTCCCTGAGACCTAGGTTGTTCCTTCCCAGCCCAGTCAACAGTCAGGCAAGCACCCTACCGCCTAGCCACACTCCAGCCTGGCCTCGTGCCTTCTGATGGGGTGAAGAGATAAACAGCCAGGAAAATGGGCAGAGCTGTAGCGGGCAACAAGTGAACCGAGGAAAATCAAGTGGGAAGGAGAGGTAGCGGAAGAGGCGTGAGTTTAAACAGGGTGATCAGAAAGGGCTCCCTGGGGCTGGAGAGATGGCTCAGGTGGTTAAGCACACTGGCTGCTCTTCCGGAGGTCCCAGGTTCGATTCCCAGCACCTCACAACACGGCAGCCCACAACTGTCTGTAACTCCAGTTCCAGGGGATCCGACACCCTCACATAGACACACATGCAGGCAAAACACCAGGGCACAGAAAATAAGAATAATAAATTATTAAAATGAAGGGCTTCATAAGAAGGTGAAGCCTCAGAAGTAGTTCGGAGTAGAATGTAAGGGGAGCAAATGGGGAGGGGGCGCGGCAGGTGCCAAGGTCCTGAGGTGGACCTGAGTGTTAGCCTTTTCAACTGTACTAGGGAGTGGTGGGGTGGGGGGGTGCAGAGCAGCTACTGTGTTGAGAATCTCAGCGTGAGTGGCAAGATCCCACTGATGTCTGAATGGACTCCCTCTGGCTGCTATGCTAATAACAGACTGTGCAGTCCTGTCAGGCGGCTCCAGCAGAAACCCAGGTGAGAGACAGTGGCCTGGACCCAGCACGGCAGCAGTGGAGGAGGGAAGTAGTGGCTGGGGGAACGGGGGGTGGGGGGTAGATTTTATGTGGGGCAAGAAAGCAGTCAAGGACATGTGGCTGAGCAGTTAGAGCAGGGAGGAGTCCCTGGGGCGGTGGGAGTCCTGGGAACTTGGGTTTATGTGGAAAGACCAGGAGCTGGATGGAGCAGGTAAGTTTCTGATATCGGATGTCCTCTGAGTGGAGAGGCTGGGTGAGCGGGCATCACTTGGGCAACATCAGCGCAGCCCCACTGTCTCCCCACTGGCCCAGACGCCAGCAGGGAAGAGGGCAGGCCCTAGGGACAAGCAGTTCGGGTACACTGAGGAGTGGATGTTTGAGGAGGCAGGCCCCCTCCTCAGACCACTCTGCAGGTCACACAGGGCCGTGCCAAGCAGAGGACAGGGTCTTACACCCCTCTTAAGAGG